GACTGTCACTAAAAATTTAAACTCTTGTACACAAACTTGACCTAGAATCTTCTCCAGGCTTCGGCGGTTCATTTCAGAACGCCCCTCTGAGTCCAAGGGGTGTTGGATGAAAGCATTAAGACAGATGGGTAAAAAGCCCAAAGGAAGAAAAGAATCAATAGTTGTGATTTAATCCATTGGTGAAAGGGAGGAATTAAGCAAAATCGTAAAAATGAGAAATGTGTAAAAGAACTTTAGTTAACACCTTTAACACAAATGTTTTCATTGCAGTTAGTTGCAATTGAGCAGACACTCAAATCAAATGTAGAAAATAAAGGTAAAAAACGTTGATTTCCTGCGCAAGGGGTAAAATAAAAGCCCCGATTTTATTATTTTTAGTATTCTCCAGTTCCATTCAGAAAAATATCGTTGACATAACTCCCAAAACATCTGATAATAATTACAATTTAAGCTTTTGTTGTCTGTAGTAATAATCAAATATAGCATATATTTAACAAAATGCAAACAAAACAAAAAAACACCAAGCAAACAAAGAGCACACACAGAAAATACATTGCTCACTATTGCATCTGAAACTACCTAATGCAATAGCATTTTGTTTAGCCACCTTTGCTATTAATTTACCCAGAATTTAAAAAACTGAGCAAAATGGACTCATGTTGAAAGAAAGGACCAATTAGTGTTGGATTAACATTCATGGTTATTTACAGTTGTTTTTGTACTTGTTCTTGTGCTCTGACTTCCTAAAATTTCACAACCCAAAGATTTAGAAAAATGGGGTTGTTTAGACGCAAAGTGCAATGAAGTGGCTGTGACCATTGTGTAGACACCACCTCTCTCATTATACCCTCTCAATCAACACTCAGTACACAGGAAACCGCAATAAAGCCCATCTGCCACGGTTAATCTGCAGGCAGACCCACACCTATGTCTATGCCCCTTACTCTATAGCCTTATTATTCTCAGATCCAAAGCTTCATAAGAGATCAGCCAAAGTCCATTAAAGTAAATAATAGCTAGAAATGACAGGCTTAGCAAAGATTGGGAGGAAGTTGAAGACCAATCTGAGCTCTGAGCTCTGATTAATAGAGAAAAGCATTAGGAGAAAAGGGGAGAAAAATGACCTCAGCCTGCTCCAAAGAATTCCTGAACCTTCGTTGTTAGGGCAAGTGCTACCATCTGAGACATTAGTGATCCTTGAATTTCCTTCACTTTGATGCAGCTCAAATGGGAAAATTTTGAAGGTTCAGCAAGGCCCCAGACCTCAGCTGGAAAGCTGTCTGGAGTCAACCCTGTCAAAATTCTCTTGTGTAAGAGAAAGCCTTTATTAGCTAGATTGCAACAACAACAATAACAACACTCACAAACGCCCTACACATAAGGAGGGGCCTCTGCTAGAGATTGCAGACGCCTTTATTATTTCCTTTCACATAGTCATTTTTTAAAGTCTCCAAACAGATGTAATAAAAATGAAAATTAATGCCTATTAAGTACTAGGTGAATTTAGTCTGCTGGTAGGAAAGTGTGTGTGTGTGTGTGTGTGTGTGTGTGTGTGTGTGTGTGTAGGAGGCAAGTATTTAAATATTTATCCAGTTTCATCTTGAAATATAATATTTATTTTTATTGTACAACATAAAAAATCCTTCACGAGCAGTTCAAAGTTTATTTAATCAAGACAGAATAATAAAATGCTTCAGTTATTTCAACTGTGCATTTTATATAAATTTACCAGAAAAAATCCCAAATTATTTGTAAAAAGAGTTTTCTCTTCATCAATTTAAAAATTATTTTCATATCCTCTGTTTGACAAACTTCCTAATGATAGGAGCCCAGGCTGTGTTATCCCCTACATCTGTGTCTTTTGTCTTCAAATGAAACATTTTTGAATTTTGGAACAGCTCTTAAGAGTCCTTTGAAGAGATATATACCTGGTAGACCTATTTGTGATGAGAAAAAACTCATTTCAAGTCAGTTCTATTCTGAAAAAAATGTATTTTCTTGTAAAAAAAATACCACATTTTTATGAAATGTAGATTAAAATTAGTGTAGTAGAGAAAGCTCAAAACTGTGAAGTTCTTTAAAGTTAGAATTGAAAAATAACAGAGACCCTGCTTTCAAAAATCCCAGTCTGAAGGGAATAAAGCATTTGGTGGAAGCAGACAGGTATTGGGAAAGCCCTAGTGATTTCTCAGGAAGACACTAAAGGTCCAGATGAGGACTTGATGTCAGGAAAGCTCACCTTTGAATGTATTCCTCATTCAAGTTTATGTTGTAGCATGCAATTTTCATAAATAAAATAAAGAGGCAATGTGAAGAACCATGGTTAGAATGATGGTTCTTCAAGGATATTGCTGATGACTTGGCTAATGCACAGTTGATGTGAAAATGGTACAATTTTCATATTTTAATCTTAAGTGGAACAAGAAATGACAATTATGAAAAGACAAAATAGATACCACCAACAGCTGTAATTGCTATCTAGGCTGCTCAAAGATGGGCAAGAGACACAGTAAATCAATATTAAGTTCTTCACAAACACAGGTATCACAAGAAGGACATCATATAACATCATTATAAGCAAATTCTATTACAGTTTGGACAGTTGTAAAGAATACAGCATGAACACTTGGAATGTGAGGCTTAGTTGTACTCTGCAGCTTCAGCTGGTATCTTAGAGGGAAAAATCCCTTGGAATCATGGCTGTGTATTTAGTTAAGTATGCAAACTGTGCAGGCTTCAGTAAGTGAATTTGATCTTCCTTTTTAGAATTTAAAATGTTAAGATTATCAAGGGTTAAATTCTCTGCCATAAGTAATTATAATAAGTTGAAATTCAGTTGTTTTAACACTCTGGGATCTGGGTAAATGCTTTGGTATATAATACTACATCCTAAGATATATTATGTGGTGTTAAAGAATTAAACTGGTGGGTTAAGAATTCAGCTAAACTTAAGAAAATGATTAAAAGGTAAAGGCATTGTATAAATGTAATTAAAAGTGAAAACTGAAACTGCTCAATGCAAGCCTTAGCAATGAAAATGAAATTTTAAAAAGCCAATAGAAAAGGAAACAAACATACAAACATTTGAGGAAAAGATATAAAAAGTAACAAATATGTACAAAGAGTTTAATCATAAAATCAGAAGAAAATACTTGCTTTTAGGATTATAGTTTTTCAGTCTAATACTTTAAATGCTTGTGAAAAAGCAGGTCTGATTTTATACATGTTCCTGGAGATATTTGTTTCCTTTATGGACAATGAAACAACAATCAGCACAACATTTTCTTTATGAATTCTTATTGCTCTTGTGCACTTGTTTATACATTATTTTATGTACTTATAAAAATTGGAGAAGCATATTACATTTCAGTTGAGCATTTAATATTTGTAAGTGAAATAAAATGTTTAAGATCTATTTATTCCTTTATTTTATTACACGTTCCCATACTGAGCATTGTTTGAAATCACAGAATCTTTCACAGCTATACAGACATGCAATAGAAAAGAAATACTTCTCACCGTAATTTTCTAGTTGAGATAGAAGTGCTTTAAATGTGGAACTAAATATGAATGATTTGAGAGTGATTTGAAACCTAAAAATAAATAGTTTATTGATCAAAAATGATCAGAATCAAATACCTTTGGTGTGTGTGTGACAATGAAAACAACAACAAAAATAAATAAAACATCCATGGTTTACTATGTAGTTTTGCATTTTTACCAAATTTTATCTCTCTTGAACATTTCTTTCATGTTATCATTAAATGAAAGACATCCTTAAATTACTTTATTATTTGTACAAATAAAAAATTAAGTGTCCATATAATATAGTTTACATTCCTGTGGAATATGCTTATAAGTAATTATATGCATGCCATTATGTATATTATAGCATAAACTGACCCACAAACATTATCTGAGATAACATGCATAAAGAAGCACCTGGATTTTATGGCCTTAAAAAGGCAATTGAAATTTTAATTTTATTAATGGAAAATAAAACTTTTCATAATAAATTCACTGTGTCAATACATAATAATATTATTCCAAATGCTCTTCATGAATTCGTATAATTGATGTGTTATGAATTTAAATATGAGAAAATGTATTGTTGCCATTAACACTTAAAACGACTATTTTGTGTCCTTGATATCAGAGCAGAATATATAAAATGAAAACTACTTTTCTATCCTTTTACTAAAGACTCAGAATAGGCTATTACTTGCCTTCTACAAAAATAATAATCTTAAAAAAATAAATATATTGCTGAAAAGTTAAGGCTTGTACACTAACCACAAGGTGTCTCCAATCTTCAAATTTTCTAGATTCCCTCCCTTATCACATCTCCATATTTCAAGAGAGTAAACCTACATGATCACATTGAAATATTGGAAACTTTAAAAACACTTTTTCAGATATAAATTAAAAGTGTATATTTTAGAAGAGGCATTATTGAACTTAAATATATACATATGTAATATATATACTGTTATATACAAGTCATAGTTATATATTAAATAATTATGTAGATTATATTATGCTTATAATATAGTACATACTAAATAAGCATTTACCAGTTATTTTATGAGTTTATGTTTGGAAACTGGCCTCTTAAAAACAGTGACAAAATAAAAAATAAAACATTTTAATATCAAAGCTCAGTTTAGTTTATGTATCCATGACTAAGATTTAATTTTTAAATAATTGTATCAGCCACTACAACAAGCTACTCCAAGGGAAAAATTTTTCAGAGTGGACTATACACACTGCAAATATCCACAAATGTAACAAACTCCTGGTTTTTACAAACCAAAGCAATTGGTGAAAAGTAATTACTAAAGCTCATCTCATTATGAAGTATGAATATGTAGCTAAGAATCAATCTCATTTTAGAAATCCCCATTACAGGAAGTTTTTTCTAATTTAGGTCAGTGGTTTGCTTATTTCTCTCTGTACTGAGAGACAAGTGTGTATGTGTGTGTGTGCGTGTGTGTGTGTGTGCGTGTTTAATGGGATGCTGTTTATCCCCCTGTATCTTACCACTCTGTCTCTGGATAACAATCACAGGACCCAGATGCTAAGGGTAAGTGACATTTTCCCACAAGCGGCTTCTGGCTCCTTGGCAGACGTAGTAGGCAGTTGTGTTGGCAGCCTCTGCCCTGCCGCTGGCTCTCTTGTGTGGCTTTGCTGTTGGAGGGATGCCTGGCCTGCCCTGTCCTTCTGGATACCATTTCCCTCTGACAGCCCTTGGGTTTTGTGAAGCTTTACTCTGTGCAAATCCCTTGTGCAATCCCTGGATGAACTCTCTAAAGGCAAAATAGGCCTTTCGTTATGGTTGTGTGTAATGATCTGAATTGCTGGTTCAGGTACTCAGGAGCACCCAAACCCCAAACCAAACTTTTCCAATCTTTGTGGCTAATTTGTTTTCATTTCTGTTCTTGTATTCACCATAAGCACATTGTATCCTAATTTAATTGCCAGTGTGTTGGCCACATAATTTTGCATAAATATTATGCTTTGTGATTTTCATGTTGTAATTTATGTGATTTTAAAGGTCCTTTGTTTCCTCATATTCATTATCATAAATAATTATCAAATATTTTTATCAGATTATGAATAACAACCTAATGAAATATCTCTTGCAAGCAATAAAAGAAGGAATTTTGCAATTTTACCAAATGCAATTGGCTGATGAATTATTTAATGAAATAAAGATCATGCTTTGGATATTGATACTGAAGTAATACTTCATTCCCTGCATGCTTGTAATCTGGATGACATTTTGAAGCATATGCTCAAGTTGTACAAACAAAGGCACACAACAGAGCCAAAGATGGTTTCAAAGACACCAATATAACTGTCTACCACATAATTTGTGAGACATCTCACATGTTTCCTCACAGTGATGTCACAAAAGTAGTCATAAATGTGTATCATGGATTAAATGATTTGTTAGTTTACCATATGCCTGACCACTATCCCTAAGCTAAACAATATTTGGGGGACCAATAGACATTTTTTCTTTATAATCTGAAATATCAATAAAGATCGTGAGTTTTCTAAAAGAAATAAGCACATTTTGCATTGAAATACCTATTCCAGTTAAACCCGGTTGAAATTGATTACTTCCTATTCTGCCATTTTTATTTCATGTGACTGAAAAATCCAGAATTATTGATACTATGTTTTATAGTTTAAAAAGTAATTTGCTACTCATTCAAAACAAAAATGAAGAAATACTGTATAGGTATTATAGGGACCTTCAGATATTAATCTAAAACAATTTCTCATGAAATTTTTCATGTGTTATGTGAAGAAGTAGAAATTATCTGAGGTGCTGTGTGATAATATAAATTAATAAAAATACAATTTAGTAAAAGGATCACTGGAGCCACACAGAGAAATAAAGATCATTATCTTTCCTCAGTGTCTGTGGATCTGCATTGGTAAGTCTTGTTTCTAATGTTGGGTCCTGTCTTAATGCACAGAGTGCATTCTTGTCCAGAGTCTTGCAAACCGGAAGAGAACTAACTCAGTGGAGAAATTATCACATTCCAACATGATTCCAATATTTCCCTCTATTTGATAAATCCATGTTTGGGAGAGCATTTCTAGTCATAATAGCATAAAACCTCAAAGGTTGTTGACAATTGGGTTACTATGAAGTATATACTTGTCTTTTGGTTCATGGGTATACTTTGCTCTTTCTGAAATATAAAACATTTAATAAGCATTTAATGAATCTTCAGAGAGTCTATTGCAAAATTTTGGCTTCTTATTTTCTATGCTATGTAAGAACCCAAAAGTTTGTAATTACATATCTAGATACTACTTGGTATTAATTGAAACCACGTTTTTCTGCTAGTAACTTTTTTGTTTCATAATTATTTACATTATACTGTTTTAGTTTTTCCTTGCACCTGATACATTGTTGGGAATGTATAGTTTTATGTTTGAAAGACCTAAAAACATAATTTTAAATAAGGAACATGTATACCAATAGAGTCCCTGGTAGTGTTCTCCAAAACAATAAACAGAAAGAAAACTAAAACTATTTTTGGCCCTCTTTTTACCAGTAGGTGTCACTGTTGGGATGATATGGTAGTGATCCCAAGCCATATAACCATTTACTTGAAAGATCATACATTGCCTATATAATCCAGACAGTAATTTACTGAGTCATACTAACCAAACTGCCTTATGAAAATTGTTTGGTTAAAATTTTACCTTAAATAAACATGAAACCATTTGAAATATGAAATCACCCTACTGAAAATATACCAAGAATCCTAGAGTACCAGTAAAAGATATCAGTCACTGCAACAAAAAATAACTCAGGCAATATTTGAAGGACACTTTGAGTTGTATGCTGATATGATTGGATTTTAAATAATATTGAATATAAAAACATAAATATTGAATAAAAAGAACAGAATTTGGATTTCATCTTTTGAAAACTTTCAAAGTTAAATGACACTTGTGGAGTCAGGTCATTTTTTTCACAGTGCCAAAAATACCTAGTTTTCTTATACAGAAGCAGATCATATGCATCCTTATCCTAGGAAATACTAAAATAATTTTAAACTTCTGGTTAAAAAAAATGTTTCATTTCCCCACAAAAGTTACTACAAAGAGCAGTGAGGTTACTCTTGCCCTAATTTGATTAAAAAAAAAACAAAAACAAAAAAAAACAGCAACAACAACAAAAACATGCTGCAATGATATCTTCATGTTAAATCACACTTGAGGACAATTTGGTTCATATTTCTTTACTATAAGTAGGAAATCTTGGCAGTACGATTTTGTTTTGCAACTAATCAAAAATACTTTTTGAATGTTTTAGTTTTACCTGAAGATTTTATTTCAATTTTTTGCTAGTTAAGATAAATATTTGTGTATGTGTGTGAATAGTGTACACCATCTAGCCCTCACCCCACACACACAATATTAAGAAATAATTTCCTATTAGAATGGTTTAAATCTTAAACTTACATGAGTATTATGTACAGATTTCTTTTAAGAGATTACCCGTTATTTCATTGTTGAATAATCTTAAAATATCTCAGCATGTTCAAATTCAAGCAGCTCATTCATCAGAGCTTTATGGTCATTTTATTAACTGAAAAACAACCAGTTAGACATGACAACTTTAAAAGTGGCAATGCCATTATTCAATGTTTTGTACAGTTTGTTCTTTGGTGATCCATCTTGTGAGCAACTTTTTTCAATAAAAGCTGAAACTCATTCTCTTGCTTTCTTTTTCAGAACAGTTTGGCATGGACAACTGCACAGAGAGAGATTCACCAGCAGAGGCCTCTCTAGATTTGCCTTCTGATTTTAAGAACGCAGAATCAGCTGCAGTTAATACAGCTACTTGAAAAGAATCTCATTGCATAGGGGAAAAGATCACTCTTTAATGCCCTTTTAAGTTCCATGATGTTGATTAATGTTGCCCTTTACATTAATGATGTTTCAAGTAAAAGAAAACAAATTTAAAATGCATCAATTCTATTGAGGATGCATTAATTAGACAGAGACTTTACCATATGCTGTGGCTGGAGGGTTTGCTGGCCTTTCTCTTGTAGTTACCTGTGTAAAATCCACCCTATCCTCTACATGAATGCCCAAGCTGAATAGCCATTTGAATGCAGGCTTTAGTTTGATTCGCCATACAAGGGGACTGTGTCACTGTGTTTTCTTTCTAGGAGTCACTAAGTGATTTCTATATCAGTTGTCATGGTGATATAGCAAAGCAGGGGAAAATGGGGGCAACTTCAGGCTTTCTCCTCACCCTCTGCACTAAGATGTTGTTAGCAAGCCTAATAAAACGTTGAGCTTTCTCTAGGCCTTCTTTTTGTTCTCTGATTGTCAATAAAACTCATTTTAAGGGTAACAAGGACATCTAAATGTCATCTGTCACAGTGTTAGAGAGATTAAGTTTGTTTAGGGACTTGTGCTGGACAAAAGCCACTATTTGTCCTGCAGATACAAAGCAGTGTTGGCTATCACCACTCTTGATTTAGAAGGAGGCCCAGAGACCATCGAGGAAATATCATCTCAGTTGCAGGTGACAAAGAGGGCTTCTTGACATTACAGCATTAAAAGAACAGAAAATTAATTATGGTTTTGAATGAATCTGCAGTTTTGTTGCCCACACCCCTTTGTAGATACCCCAAGCCTAAGGTCTCCTCTTAGACCAAGGTGCGAAAATAGCTCTTGAAGGCCACAGGCCTATATAAAAACATGACACACACACACACACACACACCTGATCATCCTTGAATAAATGATAAAAGAGGGAAGAAAGGTTTTGCAAGGGAAGTCCAACAATAATATGTGCTGTATTAATTCAGCATTTGCTCAATAATGAGGCTAAATGGAACATACAGATTAATGAAGACATTGTTGTTATTAAAATCAAATCCTGTGGTTCATATGCTTTTCTTAATAATGAACATTGTGGCTATTGGAGAGGAAAAATGGGATTTTTTCCCCATTAATTTGGCACACATCCCAGATCTCATTCAACCAGAACCTATCCTCTGCAAAATGCAGCCCTTGGCCTTTATGTGCTTTAGTCTTTCTATTTTTTTCTGTGTAAATTTGAAGGAAACAATATTTTCTCTTTATGAAAGATTTGAAATTATTACCTGAAGCCAAGGTAATACTTAAATAATTTTACAACTAGTATGTATATTCAAACATAGAGGATGATTGGAAAATACATAAAATTATATGCTTATAATAGGGTGTTCACATCACATCTGTCTGCACTATGAAAACTGGTTCAGCATCTTGGGGCTTTTAGGGTCTGGTCACATCAATGCATCTCAAATACTATCTTATAGGAAATATTTATGGTAGAGATGGCCATTATGTTAAAGTATAGATAAACTGTTATAAATGTTGGGCAATGGTAGATTCTTTATTTGCAATTTATTAGAAGCTGACAATTTGGATATTCATGGAATATGAGTGAAAGCAGAGTCCTATGACTAATTTTCTAATATCCCTGTGGAAACCTCCACATGTGACACAAGTATATTTGCACAAGCACAACACTTGGACAAGAGCTTACATATGAAAGGACAATGATAAAGCCCTCTTGATCAGAGTTCTAGGGTGGAATATCTACATATTCTGTAACTCATGCTTTCTTCAATAAATTTGAAAATTAGACTTTAATCATATTGAAAAGAGGTCTGGGTGTACAGCCATAGATGTTGTAAAATTTCAGCTACCGGACATATTCTATTTTAGTTGTATATTTGGTAGTTTATTATGAAAAAAAAAACTTATAAAGGCCAACATCAGGAATTAGAATTGTCAAAAAACAAAATCAAACACCTCGTGGAAGCTGCACAGTCACAGATCTGCAGGCACGCCTGTAATATTAAACATATGTAACTACTGAAAGGAGTTAAAATTCCTGGAACAAATGACCACCAAGTTCAGTATGATTATTTTTTAAAGATAGAAAGATTTATTCTACACAAACTAATGAAAGCAAATACAACTTGAGATGTTGTTAAATCAATATTATGGGCCTAGATGACTTTTGTTTCGTATCTCAATAGCTTGGTCACTTGTTATTCATTCAGCCTCACACCAGACACCAGTGTTATGAAGGACAATATTCTTGGGGCATTTTGAGTTCAATTTGTGTTTCTCTACTTATGCAGAACATGTGTTGGCATCAGGGATGGTTACAACAGGGGGATCATAATGTAGCATAAAGTTTTAGCATGTTGTTCAGAGATAATTTTCTGTTCCTCAAAACACAATCCTTGGGACAGGTAAAGTAGAGTTCTGATGCACTCTTGAAAGTACTGAAAATATGCTTCCTTCCTAGTTTTTAGTCTCTTATTTTTAATATTATTATAGATAAAAAGTTATCTGGAAGAATAAAAATCAAATCCTTAAAAGTATATTTAGCTTCAAAATAGGCTAACAAAAAGGACTGTTTGTCATTTATACTTAAAGTCATGAGCAAGGTGACTGAGAAAATAGATTGGAGAAGTCCAGTGACCCCCGATATATATATGTGTGTGTGTATATATATATATATATATATATA